ACAAGTTTACATCATATTCTTATGCATGCCAGTGATGTGTGTGAGGTAATTTAAGGTGGTTCTGACAAGTGTCGTCGGCATCTTCATATCCGGTCATATGGGCGGCAAGCCACTCCCATCCGGTCACATGGGCTGCAAGCCACTCCCACAAAGGAGGCCACACCCACAGAGTAGGTTCGAACAATTTTTGAAACCCACCACTGATTCACGGGCTCCCAGTTTCTAGCCTATTGTCTTAGCCACTACACCAAACTGGTTTTCCATAGCTATCTTGTTCCACAAGTATTTACTTTCTTGTATTTATTCAAATTGTTTAGTCCCTGTTACTCCAGACCTGTTGTTATTCTATGAAGAGGAAAAGCATTTATTCCTTAACCCAGTTTATTTAAATGCTTTGTTCTGGGAAAGAGTAAACTTAAGAAGATTTTAAGAAGAGATACCCATAACAATTCTTCTATATTGGAGAATGGTTACACTCTGGAACTAGGGCAGAAAGCATGGGAGGGTAAAAATCCGATTAGAGAAGTGACAGGCTTCCATTTGTGCCCCTCTGCTTCGTAAGCCATCTCCATAACTTTTGTAGTTTCAGGCTTCAGCTCTGCTATTAACAACAATTAATTACATTCAAATATGAATTAAATGAAACATTTAATTTTTAACCTGATCTGTTCAAAGCTGAAGTTAGCGTGAAAAAATATAACATGTCTTGGTTTACAAGTATAGATTGCAAAGAGGGCAAAATAGAGCTTCTGGACAAAACCAATTTACTTAAGCAGCATGCTTCTAAGATGTTAGTCCCATCTAACATCTGTAAAAATCAAAGTGGGAAATGAAACAGAAGTTTGAATAAAATCAATAAGCATTTACCGTATGTCTTAATTTTTCATAATATGAGAAACATATTACTTAAAATTAAATCTAGCATCTCATTTTTTGAAATCTACATGTAACATACTTTTAGTTTTTTTTTAATATCTGAAGAACATGTTTAAAAAGAAAATTTTTAAACACCCATATGACATTCTTGTCTCTTTCAATTAGTCTTGGAAACAACTAAGACACAGCAGCTAGTTTTAAGGTTATTGTTAACATAAAGAAAGAAAAGGGGGATAATAATAACATAATAATGCAATAACATAAAGAATAAAGCGAATAATATAAAATGTGCATTAATGTTCGAAAGGATATATTCTTAAAAGTAGTCGTCTTTTACTTACTTGAAGCAGTGCCTTGCATTTATTTCCAATAGTAAGTTTATCTGTCCATACAACTAATTGAGTTTTTCAAGAGTTCTTCATTGCTTTCAAGTTGAAAAGTTCTCTTTCATGTGTTGGAAAAAGTTTTCTCTCATACATTGGAAAAAATAGCCTAAACTACCTAGGATTGTACTCGTGCTTACAGCATAGAGGAAAAAACTAATTCTTCTCAGCTCTAAAAGAAGAATAAAATAAGCAAATTGTAAATGTCTATTAAATTCAGGAAACCAATTGGTTTACAACTTTTTATCTCGATTAACAGGCAATTCCGCCCTTCAGAAACCTCAACAGGAATTCTGATAAAGCACAGAGCACTAACAAACCTCATTAAAATCACTTAATAATCTGTCACCACAGTCTCCTTTCTGAGATCGGTTGGCAAGCGCTCAAAAGGCCCATTGTTATACAATAGGCAAGATACGCAACTTGGAAATGGGGGCAGTTCTGGGAAACTTGGAGGAGCACAAGCTAAAGACCCTTTGCAACTTGTTTTCTTCTTTGCCCAGCGAATGAGCAAGAAGAGGCAAACACTTTCAATTTCACTTCTCAATTTTTGGCAAAGTATGAACCAGGCATTTCAAAGAACATTTGTGGGAGGAGTGTTGCCAGCTGCCCATTCTGAGGGTAGAGTTTGAGGAAATTATTGTTATAAGCATTTTAAAAGGTTTATAAATTTTAAAAAATAGGTTAAAGTTCTCTACAAACTCTTGTGTGGAGAGAGCTAATAAAGCAATTATTATTTGCCTTGCTTCTTCTTTTCTGAGTGGCAGGAAGTTCAGAGCAGACTTGCCTTCAGCACATCATTTCCTTTGGAACAAAGAACAGCAAAGATTATGAATAAAAATATGCAATAAATGATGTGGGAGGTGGGAAGAAACTTTTTATCTTGAGATGTTCCGATTGAAAAGCTACTCAGATGTGAATTCCTGGCAATTTTGTTCTCTATAACAATATCAGCCTATGTCCCAGAGCTTGTTATTTCAAGGTACAAATCAACCTGGGCTAAAATTCTATAGCACCATTTGATACCTTTCATCTAAAATACAAGATTATCGCACACTGAGGTCAGATTTCAGAGGAAGAAGGGCACTGGCTAAATCACTTTGTTTAGAAACCTAAATTCAAGGTCTTTAGTGGCACAGAACATCTATTTGTTCCATGCGGCAGCTGAAATGAATAATAAACAGTTTATTTCCATGGTAATCTTCAGTTGTATAGCTAACACTTCATTCATAATTGCTGTTGTTTCCATTTTCACTGGAAAATCAGTCCCCATACAATCAAGAGTGATCATGTGAATGATCAAATCCATGGATGTAAATCCAGCTTTCAGAGAGGAAAAATTGCATGTAAAAGTGTACAAAATGAGTGACACTGATATGACATTCAAACTCAAGGGAAGAGCTATGGTAATATCATCTTGACTTAGTAAAAGTTATTATTTCTTTTTGCCTTCCTTCTTCCTGGCTAGCACAAAAACATATTTACTAAGAAGATGGATGAAAAAAAATATCCCCAATGTCTCTACAGTCAGCAGATGGCAGCAGTCACTTATGCCAAATCTTTTTATTCCCTGCAAATTTGGGACAGACAAAATCACTGTGTCTGAGCACTAGGAAATATAATAAAGAAAAGTCAACACAGGACACTTTCTGATCTCAGTATACAATGGAACAGAGACTGTCTGAAAAACAGAATAAAGTTTAAAAGATGCAGGGACCTGACAGTTGGAAATTGGAGAAAAAGACCCCAGAAACATCCTCATTTTTATACCGATAAAAGAATTCTACACAGCAGTTCATCATATTTGGTCATTGTGACAAATTACGCTCTTGCTTTTGTTGGAAATCACTGCTCCCTGTCTAGATTTCACAAGTGAGACTTTTCTAATGTCTCATTTGTTCTCTACCTTCATCTCTACTTGATATTTGTAAAAAAAACAAAAACCAAATGCTCACTCATTTCAATTCTGCCATTTCAAATAGGAAATAGTTGTGCCCATTATCTCATTATTTCAGATAAATTGTAGCACACAAGTTTTTGAAAAACCCCTAAATCCACCTAAAAATAGGTCATTAAAAGGGAGATTTAATTTTAAAAAAAACCATCAAGAACTCCTAACTCCCTCTTCCCAAAATGCAAAAAGCCACATCCCTGAGCTCACCCGTACATACAGTATGGCATGGTTGTATCCACTTGAGATAATGTTCATTCCTCCAAGTAGTTAAATTTCTAGTTATCGAGTGTGTTCAAATCCTATTTTAGAAATTCAGGCCTAACTTGCAGAGGTTGGGTATCTTTGATCTAAAAGTAATTGTATGTTAGAATCCTTTACTAGTTAGGATCACACATTGTAGAGAAAAAAAATGATTTTTTAAAAGAGTTGGTTAATTCGCCTATCCTGCTAAACAATAAACTACAGTGAGAGGATGTGCACAACACCCTATACATTATACGACCAAATTTTTTGTAACAGTTCTATTCCATAATCAAAAGTAAACAAGTATTATTAACTTATCATTATAAATTAAGTTAGGGAAATAATCCTCTAATATCCTGAAATGAAACTTATCTGAAATCTACCAGGAACCACTTTAATTCTCAGTTTCCTGAAAAATACAATGTAAGAAATATAAGAGGAAAATGGAACTTGTGATAACCTCCATCAATTAATAAAGAAAAGAATATATCAGAGATTGCCAAAACTGGGTTAGGACAGCACATCTATGTGTTCTTTACTACTATCTTTGCAAATAACAGCCCAGAGTTAAGGAGCCTTTTGAAATAAGAAGATTTCACAATGCGGGTTCAATCTAGAAATAGGATTTAATCATTCCCACAGCTTCCTGCCTTGTCAGATTTTGATACCTCAACCAACAGGATTTTGCAATTCACTGCATTCTCTTTAGAAATAGATCCCTGTCAAAAAAAAAGTTTTCTGTCTTCCATAGGCATAAAGCAGGGATGTTTTTGAATGCTACTTCCATTGTGCAGATGCTTTACATTATTCACAATTTTTTTTTAGAAAAGATGCTATCATAATCAACTTGTATTTATCAGCTTACTGATAAATGCAAGTTATTTTGCCTACTTTGTCATTTGTTTTGTCACTTTCTTTTCTTTCCACAAAGAAATTTGCTACTAAGAGGAAAATAATAGCTGCCCAATGATGTACTGTGAGTAGTGTCTACAATAAACAAAGTGTCACTACTATTTTCAAAGAAAGCATTTTGTGTGACAGTCAAGAGCTTACCATCAGAATTCCATTTAGATCAATAGCTTGTATTTTGTCATTGAGACAGTTTTCTTTACAAAGGTGTATAATGTACACTGGCTTTTATATCTTACAAAATCTATAGTAGTGGATCAGATAGAAGAAGGATAGGTAGCCTGCTGCCTTAGTCAACCCTAAGCCTAACCACAAATATGTGCTTTCTTCAAGAGATCAGGTCAGCCGTCTAGAGAAAAGCTGTTTCTTTCTTCTCCACAGCCTGCTGCTTAGGAGAGAGAAAAGAGGTGTTGAAAAGACAATGAAGACAAGGAAAAGAAAGATGTCTCAAAGAGGAAAAAAGAAGACAACAAAGAGAATGTGTTTGCATCTGCTCTTAGCTCAACTGATGGATTCGGCCTATTTTACTGTGTAAGTAAGTGCCTTATAGGATTACTCTAAAGATATATGAACTTCAAGAGAAAAGAAAGTTTGCTTACCCTTGAGATGGAACATGGGTGTTGGGCTTAAAGCTTGTCCATGGAGTCATGAATTTTGCCATATTAGCCATGCCAAACCTTCTTCTGTAGTTTAGGTTTGCACATCAACCTTAATGTATAACATTAGTGTCTATTGTGTTCACTTATAACTCTTTTAAGTTTAGCCATGTGAATTATAAACGATGGTTCATGGCTTCCTGTTTTGTATAAATTGGTGGTTTGATGAGCAACCATAGATTTAAGAAACCTACAATATGGAAACACAGCCTTTGGTTGCATTCTGGCTGGTGCTCATTCAGCCTATTTAATTGGGAAAAATAATATATGCATGTACGTATGTTATGATGAACATGGTTATTCTAAATTTTGGTGGCTAGTTTGTTATATGAAGTCAGGACCAATAGGTTTTCTTATGACTTAGTGATATGAACCCAGAAAATAGGCTAATTCAGAAACCAGGTAAAGCATGTTGAATATTAGAAATGTAATAGGGTTTCTTTTCCTGTCATGTGGAGCAGCTGTAACTTGACTTCTGCAGAGCATGAAGTCTCACATCAGATTCTAGCAGAGAGATTGATAAAGTAAGAGATGAGCTATGCTCTAAACAGTTCTGCCCCATTTTCTTCAGGACAATCTTTCAGATATCTGAGTGGTGCCTCGATCATGTCCCTCCATGGTTTTGTTTTCTCCAGGTTAAACGTACAAAAAGCCTCTAATGGTTCCTCGTAAGTTGTTTGTGATTGTTTAACCAGCTCTGTATCCAACTAATTAAAGCATAGCTCATCTCTTACTTTATCAATCTCTCTGCTTAGAATCTGATGTGAAATTTCATGCTCTGCAGAAGTCAAGTTACACTATGTTCATGCAAAAAAGATGCCTTCAAAAATTGCCTTCCTTTCTTCTTTTATGCCTTAGCTTTTCTGACTTTCTTGTATACAAGTAGTTCTCGACTTATGACCACAACGGAGCCCCAAATATATGTTGCTAAATGTTTTGCCTCATTTTATGACTTTTCTTGCTACAGTTGTGAAATGAATCACCGTTGTGGTTGAGTTAATAACACGACTGTTATGTGAATGTGTTTCCCCATTGACTTTGCTTGTCAGAAGGTCTCGGAAGATGATCGTATGACTCTAGGACACCGCAACTGTCATAAATATGAGTTTGTTGCCAAGTGTCTGAATATTGATCACATGACCATGGGGATGCTGCAGCAGTCATAAGTGTGAAAAACGGTCATTAAGTCACTTTTTTTCACTGCCGTAACTTTGAATGATCACTCAATGACCTGTTGTAGATGGAGGACTAGCTGTATTGCATATTAATAATATGTGCTGAGCCTCCATGTAATTATATAGATATTTCATTTTCCATACAGGTCACTTTTCACTTAGGTTAGATGGAAGCTTCCTAAGCATCCAGAGTTTTTTTCTATACTTCATAGGCATATTGATTATATAGCTCATATAAATTACATTCCTTTTTAATTTTTTTGTTGAGCCCTCACATTCTAGCTTCAGAATTGTAAATGATGGTTTTAACTTAGGGATGAACATGCGTCTACTGCAGCACCACTCTCCCTTTCAGATCACATCCAAATATTTATACCCAGGGATATTTCTTCCATTTTGTGCAGCCATGCAAAATTTTAATCAATGCTTATGATTGTTGATCATCATATTA